TCTCCACGCCGCCCATGACGCCCAAGGACAGGGACCACGACTCGCTGTACACGAGCTCCCATGATGGGTCCAACTTCTCCGGGACGACTGCTGCGTACAGGAATCTTGCCGGCGATGCGTACGTTGCTGCCGGTGCGGAGAAGCCCTGTAAGTCGGATACCACTCTATAACCATCTCGTGGGCAGTATATACTGACCAGACGCAGTCACAATCCAGCCCTTCCGTGCAGAGATCGACCGCGTGGTAGCAACTTACATCGCAGACCGCTCCCCGCGGCAACTCAACCTATCCAGCAAGGAGCAGAAGACGCTCCTCCACGCCCTCTCAAGCACAACGCATCCGTCCGCCTTCCGCAGCGTGGCGGCCAGCATCGAGTCCAGCCTGCGGTACCAGGCGCACCCCAACTTCATCCGCTGGTCGATCTGCAACGGCAACCCCGCTCGCGTCACGTTCGCCCGCTGTCTGGGTGTCGGCACCATCCTCCTCGCCACCGCGGCCGCCATACTCCTCACCCTGTCGCGCGCGCCCCGCGGCTACCGCGCCCTGGCCGCCATAGGCTGGGTGATCGGCTTCGCCACGCTGATAGCGGCGTGGAAGGGCATGTGCGTCGTGCTGCACGGGCTGCACCACCGGCACGTCCGGCCGTGGGAGCTGTTCGAGCCCGACTTCGACTCGGACTCGGAGATGGGCAAGAGGCGGGCGCAGAGCTACGAGTCGTTCGGGACCAGCAACAGCTACGAGGAGGAGCCGTGGGTCGTCAAGTACGACAAGAGGAACATCGTCAGGAAGATCTTTGACCGCCAGGTCTGGGTCCAGGAGCCCGCGCTGAGGCAGATCCAGGATACGATCTTCGTGCAGAGTGTTTTGGGGGGTCTGTTGCTTTCTGGCGCGCTGGTGGGCGTGTTTGTTGGTGTTCCTGGCGGAGGCTTCTTTTAGGGTTTGGACTATGGTAGGCAGACAGGGTACAAAAGGGTTACAGCATACAGGTCTATATGGGATTGCAAGGTACTACGGTATTGTATTAGTATGTGGTCTGGCTGGCTGGGTCTTCTTCCTTGGGATTGTTGTCTCTCGTTCTTTTTTTTTCCCTCTCTCGCTTCTTTCTTGTTCTTGCTCTCTTTAATTATATACGATATCATGACGGAGAACTTCTAGGTTCGAGGAGTCTAACACTGCGGGAAACAAATCTCAAAATTGTTGGGACGAGGGGGGCACACACATATATATGCACACAGTACATAGGTATGCAGCACCCGCTGCAGGAACATGTTGTCTTGGCTTTTTCTCATGGAGGTATCTTGTGAGCAACGTGGTTTTGGAATCGATCAACATCTCACCGACGCCTTGAATGGCAAATCGATAGACTCGGACTCGAGATTCCAAGCTGCAAGTGACTCGGTTCGATGAGCCGTGTGTGTACACGTTGTAGACCGTCCCTTATACGGTGGGAAAGCCAAGATCAGCACTTCCGCCCAGGCCGAGTGGCTGATGAGAGGTTCCCTGTACTGTACTGTCATCCTCCTGTAGAGCGACTAGATTGTCCTAAATCTGGTTGGCCTCGGTCCAAAGGCCTCCCCGCAAATTGCCGGGGTCAGACTATCGATAAAGCCGAGATACCACCATAAATCTCCAGCAAAAAAGACGTCCATGATGAAAGATACATCGTAAAACTGAGACTACCAGGAAACACCGCGATACAAAAAGTTACCAAAGCCTGTCTCGCCAAAATGACTCTCGAGATAGACCCAATGAAGCCTCCATGACTGCATCATTATCCACCGTTATCCGTATTTTGCATTTACTATGACGTCCGAGACCTACCACGCCGATTCCGCCGAGCCGCTGCCGACCGGATCCGGCGACGGCCTCGGATACGCCAAGACAGCGGCCGACTCGGACTCGGCGACTGTGCTGTCGCAGACTGGCCGGCCCAGGACGGCGACCACCACAGCAGAGATAGACACGGCCATCACACACCCGGGATCCGTCAAGATCAACGTCACGGGCGCATTCATCGTCGACCAGGGGAGCAGTACCCCGCGTAACGGCCAGTCCTCGCCCACGACCTACGACCATAATGGCCACCAGACGAAGGACATCCGGCTGCCAAATCACACTGCCGTCGTTAGCCACGTCGCCATTGATGTATGTAGCTGCTGCACATGGCTTCAGCACACCGTTCATGATTGCTAATATTGTCCCCTCTACCCTAACAGATCGGCGGCTCCCTTGCGAAACTGGTGTATTTCTCGCGAGAAGCGCATTCGACCGAGCCCGGTGGCCGACTAAACTTCCTCAGCTTCGAAACAGACCACATACGAGACTGCATAGAGTTTATGAAAGACCTCAAAGACAAACAGCAGGCGCTCAATGGCTCCAGACCGGGCGAGCTATGCGTTATGGCCACCGGTGGTGGGGCGTACAAATATCACGACATGATCCGCGACGAGTTAGGCGTTGATGTGCTCCGCGAGGACGAGATGGAGTGTTTAATAATTGGTATGCCCTTCAAAGCGCTTCCGCGAACAATTTGCAAAGTGGAAGTGAGACTGATTCAGTGTGGCTACCAGGCCTCGATTTTTTCATAACAGAGATACCCCGCGAAGTCTTCACCTACTCCGACACCGACCCTATGCACTTCGTCGAGCCCTCGGACGACATCTACCCCTACCTGCTAGTCAACATCGGCTCCGGCGTGTCCTTCCTCAAAGTCTCGGGCCCGCGCGAGTACGAGCGCGTGGGCGGCACGTCGCTCGGAGGCGGCACGCTCTGGGGCCTGCTCTCCCTGCTGACGGGCGCCCGCAGCTTCGACGAGATGCTCAGCATGGCATCGCGCGGCGACAACACCAAAGTCGACATGCTGGTTGGCGACATCTATGGCACAGACTACGGCAAGATCGGGCTCAAGAGCACCACCATCGCCAGCTCCTTCGGCAAGGTCTTCCGGATGAAGCGCGAGGCCGAGAACGAGGCCGAGGACAGCGGCGGGCTGCACAACAAAGACCACCACCAACCACACCACTCCACTTCAGACGGCACGGACGTCGCGCCCTCCGCCGAACCGTCGGAGATCGACCACCCCCACCCGCCGAACACCTCGCGGTTCACCAGCGCCGACATCTCCCGCTCCCTGCTCTACGCCATCAGCAACAACATCGGCCAGATCGCGTTCCTGCAGAGCCAGATCCACAACCTCTCGCACATCTACTTCGGCGGCAGCTTCATCCGCGGCCACCCGCAGACGATGAACACGCTCAGCTACGCCATCAAGTTCTGGAGCAAGGGCGGCAAGCAGGCGTACTTCCTGCGGCACGAGGGGTACCTGGGCGCCGTGGGCGCGTTCCTCAAGAGGCAGCCGCGCAACTGGGGGCGGCGCGGCAGCTTCGAGGAGGAGCTCGGCAAGTGGCACGTCCGCGAGGCCAGGAGGGCGGACAAGGAGAGGCAGCAGCAGCAGCAGCAGGATGGGGAGCGGCGGGAGGAGGTGGTTGTTGTATAGCATTTTTTGTTGTTGATACCTACACTACACGTACGATACCTGATAGATGGTTGGGAGAGTGGGCGTCTGGGGTTCTCAGGGGAGCATGCCGGCGTGCGTATTCGTGCATACACAGTATACATCGCTTGTTTAGTGTGCGAGCATTGGACAGACCTTGAATCATGAACCAGATGGGCTTTCTGGAAGATCATCCTTGGTTTGTGCTGTTTGCTAAATCGTATTTTCCGGCCAATTTACCGTTGTCGCGTGCTCAATCACTGTCAGTGTCCAATTCACGCTGATCTCGTCTCCACGATGGAGCAGTCACATGGGCAAAATGACGTTTGGCGGGGCTTCAGATCGAGATGCGGAACATTCAGTTACGTTCTCGAACCAGTATGACGTCAAACTTGGGTAAAGCTTGAGCTTGCGTGTGCAAAGCTTCGAGAGGTTGAAATAGAAGCTCACGGTAGCCTTTTTCTTCTCGTTGGGCTCTGCTCTCATCAGTCTTTCTCACATCGTCCAATCCAAAGCAACAAAAAACCACTTCATCAGTCTCTACAACAAAAACCTTCACACACAAAACACACACCAAAAGTCATCATGGCACCATCACACAGCGAAGAGTCCAACCGCCCCAAGGACACCTTGGACGCGGGCAAGAACATCGCACACGGCTCAGCCGGCGACCAACAGGTTAGTTTGTTCTTTTTACTCTAACGAACTTGCTCCCCCCAGCTGTCTTATAGATCAAACAAGCTAACATATCTCCCCCAGCTACCATCAAAGGTCGACCGCGCAGACAAGACGGCTCCCCTACCAGAGCACGAGCAAGGGGCCGGAATCCCAGGCTTGAACGCCAGCGGCGGGGGTAGCCAGGGCCTGTCGCAGGGTCCTAATGCTGGACAGGGCAAGGGGCCTCTCAACCCCTGAAGGCGACATAACATAGGAGGAAAGGGTACGAGAAACAAGGTCGTTTTATGATACCTGGGAAAGGGAATGGATTAAGGAACCCTAGGGATACCCGGGTTGATATGATGATCAAATGAATACGTGTAGAGCTCGCTGGTGCGAGTTGTTACCGATTTTACGTTGCAATTATGATTTTTCGAACTTTGATATGCTTTCCCGTGATCTCTTGGCCGGAGGGGGTCTGTTATCGATGGACCAAGGAAGATGGTTTACGTAGCAGGATTGACTTGCTGTATGCGTGAGGTTAAGTGCCACCCAAAGTGTCTGCCGTCCCGAGTATAAGAACAGGAGCTAAGCTTCCATTTTTAATCGAGATGCTCAAAGGTAAAACAGAGCTTTCAGTCGAGTATGACTTGGGTCGCGAAAATAAACTCTTGGGCATACTTCGCTTCTCCGCTGCCACTGACTCGCGCAAGCAGAGTTCAACCTCGGGCCCTGAGGGCGTCAGTCATTGCAACCATAACACGGGGGAAAAGCCAAATACATGGCAAGAAGGAGCCAAAAGAACATTGCCTCCCTCCTCGCCAGGAGCCTGCTCATGCAAGTGTCGTCTTGCCCACTATCGGAATTGAACCGATGACCTTGTCATTACTAGTGACACGCTCTACCACTGAGCCAAGCGGGCCGCTGGTGGACTTTGCGGTACGTAATGGCTTTGACGTTAGTCACTACGGACCCTTGGGGAGGAGCTGCCAATGCATCATGGGACGAGGGATGCGGTGGAATGCTTGTACAAGACGGTCAAGAGATGGTTCTTTGGGGGTAGGTAAAGATGTGAAATCTGCTGAGGCGCTGATGCAAAGACTGGAGAGGGAGGGGAAGAGCTGGTCAAGTATTTGATCTCTCAGGGTATTTTGTTATGGGACGGGGCCGCGCCCGTGCCCGTCTGTCTCTATCTATACGTCAGCGCGATACTCCGTGGCCGTGCTTGTGATAATAAGCGAGCCCTAGGCCCTGCAAGCCTGGTGGTTGTGACAGCCAAAGCAACAATCAGATTTTAGAGCTTGAACTGCTTCGCAAGCTCAATGCCCTCGGCCAGCGTGCCTATCCGAGCGTCGATGGCGTAGCCCTGGCCCTCCAGCTTCTTCAGCTCGCTGAAGAGATCGGTCAGAGGCACGGTGAACACCTCGATGAACTCGCTCTCCTCGAGCTGGGGCTTCAGATTCTGGTTCTCCGGCAGGCTCATGTCGATGGTCACGTGCACCATGCGCAGGTTGGTGTTGCAGAACCCCGGGTCTGGCTCGCTCAGGTAGGTCAGCGAACCGGTCGGCCATGCGCAATATGAGGGATGAGGACTGACCGTTGAACATGACAGGCGAGGCCTTGGAGGCTTTGCCTACGTAGCCGGTCTCCTCCTTGAGCTCCCGCACCGCGGCCTGCTCTGCCGTCTCGCCCGCGTCGACCAAGCCGGCAGGGACCTCGATGGTGACGGCTTGTGCTGGAGGTCGGAATTGCTTCTGAAGCATGATCTCCGGACCTGGTGCCCGGTCAGTGGTGTGATCATCAGGGTTCTAGTATTAATTAGTCTTACCTGACTCCTTCTCGAGGATTGCCACGATACCCACGCCATCGATGTCGCTGTTCTTAGGCCGAGTGGTTCGCTCAGAGGACTCCCACGTCCTTATTGCACCGAGAGGGTCCTTGTATGTGATCCTAGTTTCGCAGAGATGAGAGGTTAGATGTGATTCGGTCTGAAGGAGAGCCGAGCTCACTTCACCATCTTTGACCACACCGCCTCCTTCTCGGGCTGTTCATTGCGTAAGCAGGTACCATCCTCGCAGCTTGTCTCTGGCAATGATTCAGTGAGCGGTTTGGGTTATGTCTTACGAGGGGCTCGATCGAGATGATCTTGGAGTCAGAGGCCGACATGATAGCGAATTTGTTCGGGTCTCGATATCAAGGTTGGCTGCTCGACGTGTCGTTAAATCAAAGGTAAGGTAGGTGCATATTGTGTAAGTGAGCCCTTCTGTCAGCTGTACCTTAAGCTTACCTAAGGTACCTACTAGGTGTCGGGTCACCAAGCTTCGGTGGGTCGTCCCGAGAGCGGAGTCACGGTGGCAGGGCGTTAGTGGGGTTCAGGCTGTGTACTTCGGTACCTCCTTTGTGCATCGACCTGGAGTTTCAGTCTCAAAAGAGTTGAGCTCAGCTCCCAAGACCGTGTCGACACAACCAGAGCAGTATTTCTCTGGACGACTCGACATTGCTGCTTGGGAAGACTGCCATCAATGGCACCTTCTTGTCGTCCAATACTTGGACACGCATTAGCAGTAGATTTCAATACCTAATACCGGTGACGTACTTTCGTCTTCACTCAGGTACTGATAGGTACCTTAGCGAACGGGTGTCGAGATCAACTGGCCTGTGGAATGTAGACCGCCATTGCAAGTTGGCAGGTTCGCCATGGAGACGCCAGATCACGAAGCAAACAATGATGCCTTCCAGTCTCCACGCGTCCTTCTACGACTCCTCAGCCCTCTTTTTAGCTTTGATGATACATACATACGTGCTTTATCTTCATCCGTCACGGTCCTAACCGTCTGACGTGTAAGCCACGCCCGATCCTCCTCCCATGGCGCCTAATTGTGCCGGATTAGGAAGGGTTCAGCGACTCTGGAACGCGGCCCCCAGAGCGCGGTACTTGTGGTAGACCAAAGATCAGCTATCGGCCTTCATCCAACGAGAGGCCAGCAATTAAACCTCGTCTGCTGCAGCTTCACCTTCCTAAAGTGCCTAAAACCTTGGCCACGTTCACGTCAGCGCACTCCAAGTACGACATGACGAATTAAGAGGCATGGTTACGTCTCACCTTTTGGATCGTCTCTCCCTTCATCCTGTTGTCTCTCGTTTTCACTGATCCCAGCAGCAGCACGCTCCAGATCCTATACAATAGCCCGCATTCCTTCGTTCTGCTCATTTACAAAAAGACTACAATAATCTCCCATCTGTGATAATTTTCCTTCCGTCGTTCTTCTTTCCGATCTACCAGCTCATCCGGCTGGCGCGAGGGATCGCATGTGACAGTAGTACCTTCCAATTGTCCCATACATGACAACATTTATGATAGTCCGCCATTACACGACGGCAAGAACCAGTATCTAGATCAAGGTACAGACAGGGTGGGACAGAACCGTCAAGATGCGGCACCAACCATTGAGCGGCGACAGCACCGACGACGAGGACGACGCCGGCTTCGTCAATAACCGATACGCCACAGCCGAGACACCACTCCTAGGACGAGACTCGCCCGAGGAGCCGCGAAGCCTCTACCGGCAAAATGTCATCATCCTCATCTTTGCCTTCCTCTTCATCGCCGAGCTGGGAGGTGGTCTGTTTGTCGCGCCGTCGAGCGCCATCATGGAGAACATCATATGCAGAAACTACTACCCCGAGGTGTCGGACAACATCATGGTCAGCGATCCGCGCTGCAAGAGGGACGACGTCCAGGGCACTCTGGCCACCATCCGCGGCTGGGCCTACACCTTTGACTGTCTCCCCGGCATACTTGGCGCCGTGCCGTATGGTATCATGTCGGACAAGTGGGGTCGCAAACCGGTCTTTGTCCTCGCGATCTTCGGCCTCGTGTTGTCCATTGGCTGGGTATTGATAGTTTGTAAGTCAGAACATTGCCATGGCCGAAACGTTATTGGTACACGAGAGCTCATACTAATGCTCGTGCCAGTGTATTTCTCCAATATTTTCCCTCTCTGGACGATATGGTTTGGCTCCGCTTTTCAGTTTATCGGCGGCTCATCGTCTGTCATGACGGCCATGCTGTACACAATGGGCGCCGATGTCACCCCGGTTGCTGATCGGTAAGACCTCTGCTCCAGTCGGTTGCCTGCCACGGGATATCACGCTGACGTCTCTAGTGCCATTGTCTTCATGCAAGTCAACGCCTGGTTCCTGGTCGCAGAAATGATCTCTGGCCCACTGGCCAGCATCCTGATGCATAGGTCACCTTGGCTGGCTCTCGCCGTATCATTCATCCTGCTTGCAATTTCCACTCTCATCGCTCTCGTCTTTCCAGAAACCCTGGACATCCAGAGGCTAAAGGACAGACAGGAGGCCGCCGCCCACGGGGATGTGACGACTCCGAACGACACAAACGCCGACCTGGAAGCCTCGAAGCAGACCAAGTTCCAGCATCTCTGGGCCATCTGCAAGAAGGACGTCCTGGAAGTCTACGACTTTGTCCTCAAAAACCAGCGCACCACCTTCCTGTTGCTGTCCCTCGTCTTCGTCGTCCTGGGCAAGTTTGTCCTGGAACTGCTGCTCCAGTACGCCACAGCGCGCTACCACTGGACCTGGGACAAAGCCGCCATCCTCATCACCATCCGGAGCGCCAGCACCCTGCTCCTCCTGGCCGTCGTCCTGCCGGGCATCAGCTGGGTCTGCGTGCACAGGCTGAAGATGAGCAGCATGGCCAAGGACCTCTGGCTCTCCCGCGTCTCTGGCATGGTGCAGACGCTGGGCGCGCTGCTCGTCGCCTTCTCGGTGAACGGCACCATGCTCATGGTCTCGCTCGTCGTCTTCGCCGGCGGGGGCGGCCTGACGTCGCTGGTGAGGAGCCTGGCCAACGCGCTGGTGGAGGAGCACCACGTCGGCATCCTCAACTCGCTCGTCGGCTTCCTGGACATGGTCGGCATCATGATTGCGGGCCCCATACTCGCCAAGGCGCTCAAGGTCGGGTTCGCGTGGGGCGGACCGTGGATGGGGCTGCCGTTCATGGTGTCGGCGTTCCTGTTCGGCATCTCGACTGCTATTGTGTGGACCTTTAGGATCCCGAAGCGGCGACTGAGTGCAGAGTCTGTGTGAGGTGCAACTGCCTTTTTACAGTGAAATTTTCGAATTGAGCTGTCGCTTCCGTGTTCTTCACTAGAGTTCGCCGCATGCAACGAGAAGCCTCCGGAGTGGGAATAATCCTGGATAGTGGGAGGCGACTGCTCGATCTCTACTCCTCTCCCTTCTTCTTGGCGAAGGAGGTGGTGCCGTACAGATCGGGCAAGGCCTTGCCCCAAATTCCGACATAATCACCCATACAGATTCGGACTGCAGCGACTCAGATTTTTATTTTTAAGATCAGCAAAAGGGACACAGTAGTCCAGCAGTGCAGACTGCAGAACGGCAAAAAAGTTCTCGGATACGGGGAGTCGAACCCCGGGCTGATGAGTGAGAGTCATCGATGTTACCGCTACACCATACCCGATGTGCTCGACGGTGGGACGTGTTACGATTTTCCTTTTGTTCTCGGGGGGCGGAAGCTGGCTGGAGCCGGCCTTGTAGAGGGCCCGTTGTTGGTGTTTGTCAGCTACTGTGTCTTTGCATATCATTGTTATCATTATTTAGAAGCGGAGGTATAGAGTGTCGGTCCCCTCACGGCGGACTGGCTGGGGATGGAGCGGAGGGCTTCTAGACGAGAGTCATGCATTACGATGGCGTTTGGGCGGGTATCGTTTGTTTTGTTTTGTTCCTTTTTTTGGTTTTTTGGGATGCTGGCGAGGTGCAGGGAGAACGGCGTACTTTGATGCCTTGCCTTGGTTAGGTGTTGGGATATATTGGTAGATATATGGCTATAACGCCCTGCAAAACAGGGTCTGCTAAATCTCGACTCTGTTTGCGTTACAA